CCTCCCTCCCTTCGTCTGTCTCCGTTTCAGACTTTATTGGCAGAACAAGAGCAGCGAGCTGCCCAATCATTGCTGTAAAAACAGAACAATAGCAAAGCCCCACAGAGAGCAGCAGCGTCCCTGCTGAAGGGGGCATTAAGAAGATAAACGGAACAGTCCTCATGAAGAAGCTGTTTGGACTGACTTCTTCTCTTCAGGCTTTGGGTAAAGAATCATTAGCAGCTCCAATTTACTCTGAAATTGCTGACATTAAAAGTCCATTAATGTGGTTGGATGGTTCTGGTGTCTGAACATGGCTCAGAACTAGTCACCATGAATCTGCACCTGACCTTCCTCTCAGCATCATCTTCCTCCTTCTGCTAGGACCCAGAGACCTGCACACCCTGGCTCTAGCTAAAGCAAACACCTGATTTCAGAGGTCATGTCCTGACTCACAGCAAATGAAGGGTACATTTACTTCTACACATCTCAGACCTAACGCACAGACTTGAACACGCATTTAAAGCTGAATAGCAACAAGAAGCACATTTTCATATTCTGCTATTCATTAAGAAATGTTGCAGGGAAAAGTCAGATGTGTACTTTCATGCTCCAGCTTGTGTCACTGTAAACCCAAATGTTGAAAAGAATTAACTAGGTTGAGTTGGTGTAACTCAATATTTTTAAAATATATTTTAGAACTCAAACATGTTGAGTTAAGCCTAATTTATACTTCTCCGTCAGCTCCACGCACACGGACTCAGATGTTTTGCCTTCGGACTTCTCATCTTATACTCAGTGTTGCAAAGCAATTCCCCAGTAGGACAGCAGAGGGCGTAGCGCTGCTCTGTGGTATCCTGTCATGTATCCGGTCCAAGATAGTGTGTTTATATTGTGTTTTTTTGTATATAAGATACTTTTTAGCATGGACTAATTTGTCGCTCATCCTCCTGACACCTCTTCATGCGCTCGCCACCTCTAAACTCACATTTCCTGTCATTTCCATCCACAAATAAAACACTTGCAGCTAATCTTGTCACTCCTCCAGTCATAGGGGAATAAAACATTCCAATTTTTTAGAGTTTTTATGCGAGGCATTCTTCAAGCTTCTCCATGTCTGCCGCTAGTTAACCTTGGCTCTCTTTATGTTTTTGAGGGTACAATGGCGCAGCTGTAGACGACAGCGAAGCCCCGACCAATCACAAGCTTGTGTTCTACATCTCGTCGGACACATATTTAAAAATGGGAGCTCGACTCCGTCCGTTTTTGCGAGGGCTCTGCTGCAGGCTCCAAGGACGAATAATGGCGTTGCGTGCATCTATCCTTATGCGGACGGGGAAGTATAAATTAGGCTTCAAACCTAATTTATACTTCCCCATCAGGGAGAGACAGATTGACGGAGATATTTTATCTTCCGAATTCTCCATGAGCTAGAGCGAGTGTTGCAAAACAATTCCCCACCAAGACAACAGAGGACGTAACGTTTTTCTTTGGTATCTTGATCATTGCCAAACTTAAAGCAGATGGCTTTTCACAAGCTGCATTGATCTGGATGAATAGTTATCTCTAATAGGTCTCAGCAGGTTTGGTTCAATAGGAACCTGTCTGAGTATCACAACATCATGTGGCCTATCACAAGGCAGTTGTTTGGGTCCACTTTTATTTTCTCTCTCTAAATATATATAAACGACAATGCTAGTGTGGTAATGTACGCTGATGACGTTACTCTCTCCACTGCTTCACTAAATCTGCAAATGAATAATACCAAGGTGGAGCAGGTCACCAAAGCCAAACTGTTGGGTGTTAGAATAGACAACTTATTTTCCTGGTCGGATCACGTTGACCATATAATCAGTATGATGGGTCGAGGAATCTTTATGTCAAGAAAGTGTTCTACATATTGTTCTACCACTGTATTGAAAAATGTTGTTTAAAGTCTTGTTTTACCTCATTTACAGTACTGCACAGTAGTTTGGTCCAGTGCATCCCAGAAACATCTAAAAAAATGCAAATAGCTCAGAACAGAGCAGCCAGAGTAGTTTAGAACTGTCCTCTTCGAACTACTGTGTACGAGATGCATTTTAAGTTGTCTTGGTTAACTGTGGAGGCAAAAGTAAACTATAGTCCTCTGATGTTAATGCAAAAAGTTATGACTAATAGTATTCATCATCATTTGAAAGACAAAATATTACTTAGTGGATATTGCCATGAGCACGTAACACGCTTGGTAAGCAATAACATGGTTATAATGACAAGACCTAGAAGTAATTTCATGAAGAAAACCATTCTATATAGAGGGACTGTTGAGTGGAATACACTACCAGGTTGTGTTAGGGAAATCCAAAGTCTGAGCTCTTTTAAGAATAACATAAAAAAGGCTACTGTATTGAAAGCATTTTCTGTTATTGTCTTGTTCTAGCAGTTGTGATAGAACGAGAAGAAAGGTGTTTTCAGATAGCTCTGCAAGTTAAGGGGATCTTGTCAATGGAATGGGTTGGCCACTACAGCTTTTAAAATCCTAATGAAATATTTTATAATGTTTTAATCATTTGTATTGTTAAATTTATTTTCACTCAGAGACAATAGAATAGAGAGAGTCAAGTTTAAAAGTTAAGGATTTTATTACTAACAATTAAACTAGGCTTATTTAAGAACTAAGTGTATAGTGTGACTAAAAATGGATGAGACGGTGAATGGATGATGTTTCATTTAAATCAGAACCCGCAAATCCGAATAAGCGATTAGTTCTGACGGGAACTGAAGATGTTGGTTTGGAATAAGCTTGGGTTAGTTTCAGAACTGCATGAGACACCATTAAGCCGCACCTACCTGCCTGGTGGAAGTCCTCTGTGAGATCAGGAATGCCGAGGTCCAACCGGACCCTCTCTGGACACCGAGCTGGTAGAAGAGCCGCGGTTCTGACCAGACCTGTCTCGAGATACTGCCGGCACACGACTCTTTTCTTGGCGTCTGTTCAGACCCAGCCTGGGTCAGTGGAGCTTTTATTCTGAAAGGAGCTGTTGTCGTTGCTCGTTGTTATAGTGACTGGATTTGCTCTCAGCTTGTCGAGGTTCTTTCAGTTGAAGAGTTAAAGTTCAGGATTGGCCACTCCGTCACTTTCTTTGGAACGTTTGAACTGTGTTAGAGCTGACGTGGCATCTGTTTTATACCTCGGATGTTATGGTTTATTGTCGAATGAAAAATACCAAACACCGTCAGAAGCACGCCTCCGTCAGATCTGTAAATTCTGATTGGATCAGTGAAAAAATGTGTCATGTCTTTTAAACACTACGTGAAATGAGTCCTGTTGGAGCACTCAAGGTTACATTACTTCATTTCTAAGATAATAATAAAATAATTAATATTTTAATTTCACAGGTCGGTCACATCTTATTATATTGACTAACACTTTGATGGATTAGCTTTATTAAAATAGAGTTCTTTGATTAATTAAAATAAAAGAGTTCATTCTTCTTTCTTCTGTCTTCTTGCTGGAATGTAAACATTAGAAGTGAATGCATGACCTTGGCTGTTCATGCACACTGGCGCTGTGTGACAAGAACAGCTGTTAGAGGGGAGAAATCGTTCCTTCATCACGTTACATCACCTATCTGCTGCTGTTCCATCTCAGGAAGAGGACACTTCAAGTCACATGATAATAATTAGATAATAATTAATAATACTCATTGATTGTATTACTGTTTAACATAATCTCATAAGTGATCACTTGGTTTAGTATAAAGGTATTTTAATTACATGAAATGGACTATTATGCTTTCGGTATAATAATGATTAATAATAATAATAATAATGATGATTATGATGACAGTAAAAGATGTGTTCAGCATATCAGAAAGTCAGTTCACCTTATCCAGCTAACACAGAGTCCAGATAAACATAACTTCACACAGGCTTTTGACGCATGATCAAAGCTTTCTTCTTGAGAGAGTGGGAGTGTCCTGGAGCTTGGTAAAACTAACCATCACCAGCTTCAGAACCAGTTCTTGAACCAACACCACGGAGAAAGGGGAACGGCCGTCCCTGAAAACTCCACCTGCTGTTCAGTCACGCCGACCAGAGGAGCTAAGGAATAAACGAACTGTAACCAGCTAACGAAGACTCTACCCATAGTTATTGATTTCTGAGTTAAGTTAAGACGAAAAACTCCTTCAGAGTTACGGACTTTGAGAAGCAAATAGTTCCACCAGTCGAGTGACCCAAGAAGACATCTCAGGACCGACGTGGTCGTGCTAGAGGTTTTTCTACCAACCTCATGCCTGGAGGAAACCCATCTCCACCTGGACACTTCGGATCCAAAACGGGGATCTTCTGATTGGGTGAGGTAGACCTCGACAGAATGTGTTTGATGCTGTTTCTCTCCAAATACCTCAGTCTCAAAATATCATTTTCATCCAGAACTCTCTGTGAAAGAAACCTTTTAATAACCTCACTCACGCATCCAAACTCGTATTCTTCATTTAGCTTCCATTCAGGCACAGGTTTGCTTTTAAACAAGTTTAATATCAAAGCTGTTAAAACTTGTCATTAAATTTTCATCCTTGAATTGTCATTTTATAACTGACGTTTCAAAATTTTCAGCTTAAAATTGTTAGTAATACATTTCTTCATTTTTAAACTTGCCTCATTATTGAAACGAAACACAGAAAAGGTAACATTTCTGGTTATTTGAAAGCAAAGATCCTAGCTTCTGATTTAAAATAACTTTTGCTATTAAATTTAATTATCTAAATTAAACATTAATCTTTGGATTTAAAATTAGATCAAACAGGTTGATGTATGAACTTGGATCGATATATAAGTATCCGGGATATTTATATATATGATATAAGCTTCATAGGTTAATCTGATTGGTCATTTTCGGAATCTCCACTGAATAGCAACAGAGGTGATTTCAGTATGCAGATGACTCTACACAGGAAAACCCCATGTCCATGCTGGAGACATCAGCAGCAGAGCGTCGCTGCTTCAAGCAGAATCCATTATGTCTATAGCAATGATCC